CATTACAATCCACTCACAGATGGATACAGGAAAAATGGGACCTGAGCAAAATCATGAGTGACAACTGAGTCAGAGCATCGCCGAATCGGCAAGGCTTTTTGGGGTGCTCCCAATCAGCAGCAGTGAGTTCATAGGAAAAAGGGTTAAAGGAGGGACAAAGCACAAATTGGCAACAGGGTGTTGGCTGCCCAAGGCGCATCAACAGGTGAAGGCAGCCGCGGTTATCCCGTTTGGTCAGAGCTGGCAGAATGGCTACTGTGGCTCAAGTTGTACAGCCCCAATTCCAAAAAAGTTGGGATGCTATGTGAATTGTAAATAAAAACAGAATGCAATGATTTGCAAATCTCATAAACCCATATTTTATTCACACTAGAACACAGACAATGTATCAGATGTTGAAAATGAGACATTTTACCATTTCATGAAAAATATTAGCTCATTTTGAATTTTATGGAGTAGCCCCCAAAAGCCCGCTTCTCCAGCCTGTACTGCGTCCACGAGGAAATCTCCATGTTTCAGCAAAAATTTGCGCATTATTCGGCCAAAACTGTTGCCATGGCTACCAAAATCGATAGGTGTCATAACTTAAGTATAACACGTGTCCATACCAAATATGAAAGCAATCGGTGAAAAATTACAGCCTGTACAGCGTCCACAAGGAAGTGTCTACGGACCCGGATGCGGCAGCGGAGACAACAAGCATGAATCCATAGTAGCCGCCCGACTTAGTCTACAATTAGGCTACAATTAAACATTACACAGCTAGGAGCTGAAGAGACTCCTAGGCATTGTGACACAGGCCACAGTAGAATCAATGTTCCACAGGGCATTATCTATTAAAAAAAAAAAAAAAAAAAAATAATGAATTAGCTCAAAACCTTAATATCCAAGAAATTATTACGCATTTCAAATAGCAGCCACCTAGCACCTTCGGTGATATTAGGCTGCATATGTTTTCAGAAAATTGCAGCTGAGATCTGAAAAACTCTTCGAGTTAAGTGCAAAAAAATGGAAAGGATGCAATAATAAGTGAAGATGAAAAATAATTCCAATTACAATCGTAGCAGACACTCAATGATCATAAGCATCCATCATCATACTGCTTGCTGCCTCAACCCCCGATGAGTGAGCAGAGAGGGATATTCTCCTTGTAAACCTAAAGTGAGGTTAGCTGACAGTGAGCGGCAGGTCCAATTTAAAGAGCCAACCAAGTTTTTATTCACTTATTTTGCGAGTGGGCATACAGGACTCATTAATTCATCCATTTTTTGTGGGTTAGGCAGAAGAGAATGTATGACAGCAGAAAAATGGGCTCAATGTTGATTTGTGGATTGCAGACAGGTGGCAGAATGGCAGATGGGGTGGGGGGGGGGGGGTGTGGGTGGGTCAAATGGTTGAACTGATTAACTGACAGCTATTACAGTTAAAATTGAAATTCCTGGTAATTGAGCAGGTCTGAGCGATGGGCTAAGACCAATAGAAATGAATATTTTATGCCTCAGGCAGTAAAGCTGCCTAGAAGGCAGATGCAGACAGAAATCTGTGATCATGAAAATGATGTAAAGAAAGTGATTCCTTCTTACCCTTTGGATTTAATTCATCTCATGGTTCAACAGGAATCTGGCTTTTTATCACCCAATGTAATGATATCGCAATATTGTGCTTGGCAAAACAAAAATTGAATCACAGATATTTTCATCTAGAGTCCTCTCACAGAGTGCTTGTTCACTCACACAATGAGCTCTTCTCTCACACTTGAAATGACACTCGCGTGTGTATGTGTGTGTGAGAGACGTGCGCATGTGTATGTCCACAGACGGTGCTTTCACACTTGGGACTCGGGCATGGATCCGAGTACACCTGACCCCAAAGTCCAGTTTATTTGGCGAGTGTGAACGCAAGTGTACCGTGCTCGGCCACGTTACGCAAGTCCGCTTGGAAGAGGTCGTCTCGGGCACGGTTCATCCGTATTCATATCAAATCTGAAAGCAACCGTGCTTGAGCATGGAAGTGGACTGTTACGTGACGTCTTAACTATTTGACTCTTTTGTTCTAACAAATATAGCAGCAACAGGATCTCTCTGGTCAAAAGAAGAAATTAAACGTTTGCTCGAAATTTGTGCAGATGAAAAAACATAGAATCACAACTGGATACAACACACAGAAACACGGAGATTTATGGAATAATTTTCAAGTATTTACATTTACGTGGTTATCGCAGAACTATTGAACTGTGCCATGACAAACTAAAGAAAATGCGGGTGCAATATCTTAAAAGCGGGGAACGCAGTGCAAAAGTCTGGTAGTTTAAAGGTATAGTTAACGATCATAATCCACGCACTTTTTGTCAAAATCACCATATTTCTCCTCACTATCTGCAAGCTGTCACTTCTGAGAGCATGATGGAAAAAAAATCTGGTTTCAATACACAGCCTGGGCTCTGAATTTAAGCACGTGGGTCCACCCCTCCACGCCCAGGGGCGGGTTCATACTCGTGCACAGGTCAGATGGGAGTAGCAGGTCGCGTAGCATGCGCGGTTACAGTAGAGAGAGACACGGCATTGCAGCATTTGTGATGGCTGAAAAACAGCACAAGAGAAAACGGTCGGAGGAACATAAATTCAAAAAGAAGGGCTACGACCATGAAAGGGCGAAGACCCGGGTCAACATTGGTGTGGCATTCCGACGGTGGAGGGAAGTCCGCGAATTGAAGGGTCTGAAAACGAACGCGGAGGTTGTCGTCTTTATGCTGGACAGGTGAGCAACATTAGCTTTGCGGTGCTTCACACAACAGCTGTCAGGCATTCATCATATTGTCTAATCTGCCAAAATGTACCGTTGTTGTGATGTTATCTATTTATAATAGCAATCGAGTCGTGGGTACAGTTGTTTGACGGGTCAGCTAACCTTAGCTTCGCAAATTGGACTTGTGGCTACGAGTTCTTGTGAATGTCTGACATCTTATGTGAGGAATCGACGGGGAATTGCGCAATCAAATGCTGTACATATGTGCGTCTAGATAGAATGAAATGAACCGCCTTTGTCTCAGCTTATTGTTTTGCTTGTACTGTCTCGCTTTGCATGCATGCGGTTGTAACTGTACTGTTATGTACCCACTGTTCTGGAAGAAATTTTGCTATAAGCTCCTGATATCCATTTCTTCCAAAACGAAACAATTCCGACAGCAAGCTACTCAATGAGCTCATAGCAGAAGCACGCAAACGGTCTAAGCGCTGCTTGTGTGGAGCTCGCAAATCGATAACTTGTACCGGGAAAAATTCCGAATCCATTTTTCACTTTTTCAGCTTGTAATAAGCCAGAATGATTTTTAAATACATTCCTGGCCGTAGTCTGTTCGTGGACACAGACTCCTATTTGAGGCATTGCGCTGACAAGTATGCTTTAGCAGTTCTTTATATGACAGGCTTATTATCACCTTTGCCACAATTCTACTAAAACTCGTCACATGTACTTTCAAAGCAATAAATACGGCTTCCCCTCGCCAACTTACCCTCGAGCATTGGAGGGTCCGGCCTCCGCCATATTGGTCAGCTACACAGTTTCTTCTGCCATTTACATGACAATGCGCGTTCATGAACTTCAGGGGTGGACACCGGGACGGAGTATGAAGGGAGGGGTGGGTCTGTATTCGTTTACACTTCAAATATCAACAACCTCTCTACTCGTTTTCTCCCACATCGCTGACTGCACATTTAAGTGATGAAAAAGATACATTTCCATAGCTGCTTCTTCTTTTGTATATTTCTCTTTTTCAAAACCACCTAGGTACATACTGTCACCTACTCTATTGGAATTTTGACAAAAGCAACCGTACATGGATACGGTATGACATTGCTGGTGTGAAAGCTGACCAGTGGGGGGGTGGGGGGCAATCGTACTGTGGCACGGTACAGAACAATCGTACCTATGTGAAAACACCCAGAGTTTCCTCTCCTTTGCATACTTCTGTCACTCTACTAACATCTCTGAACTTGGGGCATGCATGAAACTGGTGTCTATAATCTTGACAAAGAATACATGGAGTCTTATCCTTTCTCTGGTCTGACCTTTGGTTCATGATGTGTGTAGCGGTGTGAGTCATGAGAACATTGGCCTTGTTTCTCTTTGTGTCTTGAAGTTTTTCTTCTCAGTGTTACTATCTCATAATTGGTTTCCTTCACTGCTAGGTCTCCTGCTGCATCCGCACACTTGGCTACCACAGATGAAGTCAGGGAGTGCTGATCAGACTTACTGGGACTTATCAATGAAACAGCAGATTGATAGACAGACTTTGCATAATCACGGTCGAGCAGTTCATCAAGGCGCCGTCTTTCTTAGTCCTCATCAAACTGACCTTCATTGTCAATCACGCTACAGTGGGCAATGATCATTTCTGTTGGAAATGATTCACAAGAATCGACTCATCTTCTGACATCAGCGGAGAGTATGACAAGACCTTGGATTTCAAAACACAGGTTCATTATATCTTCCTAACCTTTCTTGAGTTCTTCAATTTGAGGCCTGAGCTCATTCTCTGCTATGTATGACTTCAGTTGATCTCTTGCTTTGTGAACTCTAAGCTTCCATTTCTCTTACATGGAGAGAAGCCTCTTCCTTCCTTAGCCTGTTTCACGCGTAGCACATGTATCTTCTCTGTAGGGTTGCGTGCACGTTCGGGGCATCAAGAACTTTCAGGCAGGTCATCAATTTTACCTTGGAGATCAGTCTGACTTACTTCTTTCACCTCAGTCATTTCCTTCAAACGTGGCTTCTCAGATGCATCTGCCACAGAGTGGAGCTCACTCAGCAAATCTTGAACTTCATGCGGGGACACAGCCATCTGTCCCTCTACCTCACTCTGACATTATCAACTCAATTTCTAAAATTATTAAGTCAGAAGACAGCCCCTTAGCGGATACGATCAAACCCTTGCAGTAAACACCTGGGTGGAGTGAGCTCCTGTGGGAGTGAAGAGTTTTTGCCTAAGAACACACCGCGAAAGCTGTGGCAAGGACTCGAACTCTGGACTTTTTGATCTCAAGTCAAGCACACCCAACCACTGCGACACCGCGTCACCCCTTTAATCATAGAGTCTGTGTGAATGTGTCCTCAAATGTAAATGTGTCAGCAGTCTCTTTTTGCCATAGATTAGCAGCTGAGTATGAAGTGTTCACTGGTTCATTTTACATCGAGAGCATGTGCAGCTTTAACTCTGAATATGACAAGGAACACCTAACAGAATGTTAAAGCATGAGGTAATTTCCGCACTCACCATTGTGTTTTATACAAGTCAGTAGGGTGGGGGTCATTGAAAGCTAGACGAGACTACCACTGGTTTTTATTTGTTTATAAATGTGTTTTAATGAAAATCCCTCCTTATCTAGCTAGTCTACTTATGCAGCGAGTGGGTAGCCATGGGACACGGTCACAGGACTTATTGTGTCTCAATGTTCCTCGTGTAAGAACAGAGCTTGGTAAGACAGCTTTTTATTATAATGTCCCACATACCTGGAACCAGTTGCAAGCTGAACTGAAATTGAAAGAACTGGTTCCTTTTGGACATTTTAAAACTCTGATCAAATTATTTTGTCAAGAGAATTGTTGTTGTTTTAGTTAGTGTTTACCCTTTAATAATGGCATTGTTTTTTTTTTTTGTACAAATGTCCTTGAAAACTGTTATTTTAATTGTCTGTAATGCAGGGCCCTGCTGAAAAGGAGACATGGTCTAAGTCAGGCCCCTTGCTTAAATAAATCTAAATAAATAAATAAATAAAAATTATATGACTTTTGTCAAGCAGAACAGTTCTGTATTACAATTGGACATATCAGTTCTGTATTGCCAGAGATGGAAATGTAGCAGAATTCATCGCTGTTTGTGGGGTCATCTGTGACGTCTTTCTTTTTAAACTTTACTCAGAAGTGTTTTCACTTTTTCCAACTAGTAAAAAAGTTCTTGGGAAAACAGGAGAGGGAAAGGGTTGAAGACAGCTAATGAGAGTGTCATACTGATAATACTCTCAATGGAACAGTGTCTGTGTAACTCTTGTGCAGATACCTAAAGTAAAAGAGTTTAATGGATTATACATGTTTTTTTAATACGTTAAATTTTAATTAAAATTTCAGTTTGAAAATAGGAGATTTTTCCAGACTTATTTGTCTCATTGTTATGCAGTGTGAAAGGAAAGAAAGGAAGCAAAAATGAAATTGAACAAAAATATTTGTTTCCTGGACAATATCCATTTACAACAGGCAGAGAGCCTGAGATCATCTTGAAACTCTCTCGTTCACAGCTGTTTTTATGTTTTCTAGGTGTATGTGCGCATAGAAAAAAATTTTAATAGTCGCAATTGTTTTTTGGACAGTCCAGTAGATTTTGTTAGATGGTGTCAGCGTGGAATGATGACTAAGTGCTGACATACTCCAGAACAAATCTGTTGTTGAATCTACATAACATGTATGACACGAGTTGCATCACAATATGTAGACCACATAAGTTATTCGCAGCCCAGTAAAAAAAGTAAGGAATGCTAATTGCTATGGACAACAGTAAGCGTATTCTATTCGCCAGCTTTTCCTTACTCTCCTACCTTGTGCTTGAGCTAGAAAGTTTTTAAGGTCCTCCATTATTCAGCTCTTTGGTGTTGAATCGCCGACGCCAGGGAAAAGTAATGTGAGAAAATTTCAGCAATTTTTGGCAGGTTAAAGGGATTCCTTTCTATTAAATAAGACAAACATGAACAGATATCTTCCCTAAGTAGTAAAGGAAAGTTGTGACCATCCTTTGCGGAAGCTTCTGCAATGATGTTCATCCATTCTCATCTGTATTTCTCAAGCGAGAGGACAGGTAAGTATAGATACTCATCACTACAGTTCTTGCATTTGCCACTCACATTTAAGAGCCATCTCTTAACTTTGACATATTTAAAAAAATAATGAAAAGCTGAGTATCAACTATTTATTGATGATGGCCAGCCTGTAAATTTTGTGGTTACTGAATGATCCAATATTTCACTTGATGATATGCAGCTGTCACTCTCTCCGCATATATGAGAAAATGCTCTAGCACAGCATTTAGCTGTATATCAAAAAGGGCTTTTCGTAAGCCTTCCACTTTACCCACCCATTGCATGTATATGCAAATATTTCTTGGCTTGAAACACCTGAGCCTGTTCATGGTTTCCTCAGTCTAGACTGCTGGTAACATAATAGGCAAGCTCTGCCAAAGTTTTTTGAATTTATGTCAGCACAGAAAAATAATGAAAATAATTCACCTTCCTCCCAGGTCTCCGGCTGAGGGACATAAGCACGTCTCTATTTTCATAGTAGGCGGGTGACCTCATGCTCGCAACTGACATTTATGTGTTCAGTCCTTAGCTACAGAACGTCCATTACATAAATCGAGTGCTCATGATAGCAAACCTACTGAAGTGACTGGAGCAAGTTACCACTTTACTCTGAGGATTTGTGGGATGAAGCTATTTGTTCTCAATGATTTCTTTCCTGATAACTACTGTGCCCAACATAAGCTATTGCAAAAAAAAAAACCAGGTAATAGTAACCTTTCTAATCTGACTGGTCTTTTAAGATTAGATTTTCCCTGATAGAGAGTGTCTAGAGAACATCAGTCAGCCAATGCCAGTGACAATATGTTTCACAGTGAGAACACTCCTGAGCTATTTTAAAAAATGCATCATAACATGCCGTCCATGAGTTTCTTTCTCATTGGTCCAATATCCAACTTTGTCAGCATACGTTTTTTTCTTCCTTTTCGTAAATCTCATGCAATCTCATGCAAAACTACTGAGAGTCATTTCATTTATTTCTTATTGTATTTTCTTTTAATTTCATTTTGGAAGAATTCTCCTGCGCCAGAAAAATTGGAAGATTACTGTAGATTACTGAGGATCTTTGAGGAGCTCTTGATCAATAGGTTCATGGATTTCAGTTCGCATTTGGGTCATATGGTTTGATTTAGCAATCTGTCATCACATTTTATTCTGTTGTATAAAACATCCTTGTGAGTTCAGTCTTAAGATTTAAATGTACAAGACCAAAATGTGTCCTCTTGTATAATGAATGACATGAGCCAGGATTTAACATGCCCAATTAAAAGGCATTTAATCATTTTCCAGTAGGGGCTGTGGGATTTTGTCCTGCTGCTGCGGGCCGCTGAGCTGCCAGTGCAGTTGCTATTCTGCTCCACTAGAGGACTGGCTAAGGACAGTAGCTAACAGTGGCCTGCCAGTGCAGTAACTGTCCTGCTCCATTAGGGGACTGGCTCAGGGTAGCAGTGGCCCAAGGTCTCGGAAGTATTGACTGTGCAGTCTATGTTTGGAATACTGCAATCACACAGTTAATGCCTGCCTTACCTGCTCCAGAACTGTGGACCAAGTCAACCTATCTAGCATGCTATTTTGATGAATAAATCATTCTGAATGTAATTGTTCAAAGATAGTAACAATCAATGTGGCAATACCTGCAGCTTGCTGATTTTTACTGTACTAATTAGGCATATCAATAAGCTAGCTAATGACATGTAACAAAACCAGATGGAGATAAGATAAAAATGACTGAGATAGCATTAGCTTATTAACCCATTTAAACCGGGACAGCATGTGCGCATTTTAAGAACGTGTTGTTGCCGACACAGATATGCGCGTAATTTTGAAAGTACCGTAATTACTGTAAGTTTTGCGCAATAGAAAAAAAATTCCAACTATTACTGAAAGCTGAGAAGCTGTGCTTCAGCCCAAATACAGGTTACTATGGTAAACATGGCAGCATGATTCTCTGCTGGGATTTTTGCATTAGGCCTTAAAGGGTTAACTAAAATAGGCCTACAAATGATCTAAACCGATTAATTATATACAGCTATCAAACTTAAAGGGGAAGAGAAACATTTTGAGACTTATGCCTGTAGCAATAATTAGGCAGTAGAACAATTAAGTTTTGGTGTTCCTATCATTCCTTTTGATTTCAGATGAGCCCAAAAACTCATATTTGAAAAATTGACCCATGTGACTGATTTGGTGCTGGAGGGTCACATATGCCACACACATGTAAGGGAATGGGGAACATGAATGCATGACACCTTGCGGAAGAGACATGCAGGACGTCAAACCAATCAAAGAAGACAACATATCTTAAAGACTCGCGAGCTGCTGGATGGGAGGATATATGAAAGAAAATTCACGCAAGGGCTGTGACGGAACTATCCTTTTTTGGCTATGACAATGTGGGAGTTCAATTCAGAATTCTCCACAAAATGACAGATGGCTTGCCGCTTGCATTTTACTCTATCAGAGTTCATTTAAATGACGGCTATTTGTCTACAGAGAACTATGACAGCCTGCAGTCAGCAGAGGTCCACACAAAAGCAAAATTTCCTTATAGGTTTGTTTGTTGTATGCAATCTGCTCATTGGTAATGTGCGAGTATTGTGTGTCTAATCTCAATCCTCAATTTGCATGAATGATACAGTATCATATATCAGAATGAGACTGCAGTCAGAACGCCTGAACTGGATCTGCAACCAACATATAAATGAGTGGCGTGTCCAGCATGTAGCTTTTAGATTCTGGCCTTTGTGAGGGAAATTGCTCATTTGGATTAGGCTTCTCCTGGCTTCGACAGGTGTAAAAGTGATGATGGTACTCTAATCTAAGCCTGCAATCTTGAATTCCCACTTCCTGTCAAGTTGTTTCAGAAGAGACACATTAGAATCCCAAACCATTTATTGGGGGCCGGTTTTAAGAGTGGGCCATAAAGGTCCGTATTTTCTGTGTTCTATTATAGATTGAATGTTAATCAATAGCATTCAACTGACATCTGTCACAAACCAAACATGAAACCCCTCTGTTTCTGCTCCCATTCAACAACTTGCGTGTCTATTAGAATATGTCTCCTTTATACAGTGCGTATAAAAAAAAAGGGAATCCAACTTCAAAGGGTTAATATACCTAGTTTATATAGTTTCACCATTTCTATGCAATTTGCCAAGGAGGAGGACGTCCTTAGCTCTTCATGGATACCCTTGCCTGCAACACTACTGCTGCATATGCCTGATTAAATGAC